CATCAAGCCGAGCGGCTGCAGCACCGGCTTGCGTGCAGGGGTGTCCCCTTTCATCAGGCAGTGGCCTGCGGGGACTCAGCTCCCTCGAGACCTGCGCCAACTCCAGCCATTCCCTCCGTCTGTGCCAGAACTGTCCCAACGGGAGCCTCACGACACCGTTACCGTTACCAGCCAGGCGGGAGCTGGTGCTGCCATCCCTTGCGCCGCAGGCACACAGCCCCCACCGCTGAGGTGGTCTGTGTTTGGGTCACACCCTCCCCCACCCCCCAGCCCCATGCCAGGGATCCCCTCTGCCTTCTTGAGAGCTCAGGGGTGTCATGGGAAATGGGTGCGAACGGTGCCAGGGGATTTCCAAGAGAAGGTTCCCCTTTCCCCCAGGGCTGTCATGTCACCAGTTACCAGGGGAAAAATTGTGAGGGAAGACCCGAGCCTGGAGAGTGGCAGAGCTGAGCAAGTCGGAGAGTGCCCTCGCCCTCCCCACTTACTCCTTCAGAGGGGGGCTTCGCAGCAGGCAGCACTGCAATGACATCCCCCCTCCTTCCCCCCAGGGATGGTATGACAACGCCAAGGCTCTGGAGCCAGAGAGAGGCTAAAACACCCCCAAAAGACTCAATCACCCCTTTTTACTATCATCAGAACAGCTGCAGGAAGCAGGAGGGTGACTGTCACGAGAGAGGAGAGTGAGGAAGAGACATGTCTCCCCCTCCCACCTTAATCCACCCCACACCCAGAGCTGCATCTGGGCTCCCATCCCGGAGTGGAGCAGGACAGGCACAACGCTGAGGTGGGAGCTGTCCCCAGCCACGGCTGCACAGGAGAGCAGCATGCAGCGAATTTACCACATGCGGGGAAGCACCTTTCAGGGGTCCTGGCCCTGGCCACCCCAGAACCCCCCCTGTGCCACTGACACCACAGTGCCAGGGGCACGAACGCAATGCTGGGAAGTGGGGCAGGATGGCGGCACGGCAGCCCTGGCATGCACCAGGACCGGTCCAGGTCCTTTGGACTCGGCAGCACTTTGCCCTGCCTGCAAGGGGCACAGAGCAGCTCCAGGCACCTTCTCCTTCCCCAGGCCCTGCCCAGGGCGGTACCACCCTCACCCAAGGACAGGCCCAAGTCCGGTCTAAAGTGTAGCGCTGGTGCAGTCTCTGTCAAATTGGCACGTGGCGAGTGCAGGCAAGGCAGCACAGCAGGAGTCATGGGGTCCTGGTGGCTTTGATTTGCATCTATCCTCTGTCACAGAACCTAGGAGAGCTCCCTTCATTTCGAGGGAGCACGACAGCACATGTGGCTCTTGAAAGCTCCCTGAAAAACTCATTTCCACCCAGATCCACCAGAACCGAGGCTGCTTCCCTGTCATGCTACCACCCTCTGGCCCGGAATGTCCCTTGCACGCGAGGTTTTGCTCCTCCTCACTTACTGTTTCCATGTGTTGGGTTCCTCCTGGGCCAAGACTTCCTAAGCTTCAACACAGGGACCCTTACTTGCCTCACTGAGCTGCCCACTGAGCGACACAGAAACGTGAATGCTCCTTTTTTTGTGGTCCTTCAGACCACACCTGCCACAGTGGAATAGTTCTTTGTTAATGCAGGCATCAGAGATGCTGAGAGATCCCTCCAACAGCAGCCACATTCAGCCTCCCCCTGCCTAGCCAATGCCAGCCAGCAACTTGCTTCTCACCTGCCACAAGGCAGAGGGCTGGTGGGAAATGATGGAGCCTCCGAGAGAGGCAGAACACTCAGGTGACGCACAGAGGGAAAGCGCTGTCTCCTTGGGTCACTGTTTTTCACGATGCTCAAACACCAGCCTGGCCAAGTTTTATCTTCCCTGCTTGGCTTTTAAGCACCTGTGACCGCATTTGGGATGCAGCAGCTCAGGGAAGATCATAGAATGGTTTAGGGTTGGAAAGGACCTTTAAGGTCACCTAATCCAACCCTCCTGCCATGAGCAGGGACATCTTCCACTAACTAGATCGTGTTGCTCAGAGCCCTGTCCAACCTGTCCTCAAATGTTTCCAGGGATGGGGCATCTACCACCTCTCTGGGCAGCCTGCTCCAGTGTTTCACCACCCTCACTGTAAAAAATTTCTTCCTATATCCAGTGGGA